GGTTTGAATCCACAGTCGATGGAACAAGCGTTTCAATGAAGGCTGGGCAGTGGAGTTTAAGTTTTTGGGGATTTTATTTAAATGTTCATGCAGGTTCTACTTCTTTCTCCGGGATGCAGACCAACCAGGGAATAACAGATGCATACGAGTTGTTCTCTAAATCAATCTGAGATAAGATCACATCTATGCTGATATCTTAATGAGGCAGACTTTATAATAACACACACAAACACACCGAGTGATAAACTTAAGAATTTTTATTTAAAAAAAAAAAAAAAAAAAGCACTGGTCAAGCAAACATCGGAACCATTTAGTATTAGTACTGTTCCATATCACAAAATGAGTTATGAAGAGAATCATTAAACCACACAAATGATACGCTCGTTTCTGATACGTAATAAATTAATCGGCAATAACAAATAAAAACATGCTTGTACTTCGGTGTTGCACAGGAAGTGTTGAGAGTCCGACGCTCCAAATTTAAGACACCTGAGAATATAAATATCAAAACAGCTCGTTGCAGCAATTATTTAGTTCCACAGTTCCTCCTGTTGACCTCAACTAAAGCTTTGATAGGAGGAGCTTTCTGTTTAAAAATTACATTAATGTAAAAATTAGGCATCAATTAAAAAAAAAAAAACATCCACTTCTGTACAATGTGCATATCTGGATTAGTGTGGTGACGAGAGAAACGACCGCTTTGCTTCTTTTTTTTTCTCTTTTCTCAGCGAGTCGGCGAAAACTAAACCCTAATCGGATCGCGCTGGGCTGTCATCGAGCCACATTCAGCGATATGAGCGAATAGATTTGGACTGAGCTTTTTCATTTGACGTGTTCAGCGAGCCGACAGCCTGCAGGTTATTCTACTTTACGCTACTTCCACCTCGATTCAGCCGCTTTGCAAACCAACAGTAGCCAAGCTGCGGCGACGGTCGGCGCATTCACGACCGTTGGTGAAGCGGCAGAAGCTCGTCGAGCTGGGAAGTAAAGGGCTCCTACACAGGTAGTCGTGACGTTGCATATTGAGTCGGTAAGGATAAGAGAGTATCTAGCTGATAAAAACACATTTCTGAAATCCAAGGCTCCATGGCTTTAGAGGAATTTCTGAGTTTGGATGGATTTTTGTACAGAAAAAAAAAAAAGAGAGAGAGAATAAACTGTGAGGTATGTAGTTTTGTGATATTATAGCTTTGAGAGTCCGTGTCAGACGACACCTGCAGCAGTGAGGAGGAAGAGGTTTGAGAGGAAAACAAAACCATATCGTTGAAACATGTCCATGTGTTCGGGGCCACTGCCAGCAGCGACCCAGAACCGATCCGGAGAAGTGTACAAAACTTTCAAAGCGACGGTGAAGTGGTGTGTATGAGGAAGACATCTGCAGTCGTTCTGATCGTAGCGTGGAGGAGGCGAAGCCAGCGACAGATCTGGGAACAACCATGAAGATAAACACAGATTCCACGACAGGAGATGGCCCGGATGACAAACTACGGCTTTATACGCGTATGTAGACATAAAACATACACGTATAGAGAGAATCTAAATAAAAACTACTAGCCAGTTCTTTCTAAAGCACTTGGAGAAGGCAGTTTTTCATCGGTTATCAACACAAAGTCCCACAGTGCTCGCTCGTAGCATCGCGGCAACAGTGCAGCCGTTACACGATTCAGCCAAAGTACACCTTCAGAACAAAAGTGCCATATTGCATAATGAGTTTCTGTAATGCCCCCACGGGAGAAGCATCGATACCGACACGGTGATCCGACTGTAAACATGGTGCAAAAAGTAGTTATGACATAGTTTAAGGCTTTCAGAGTTTCCTGAAGAAGTGTTGTTCACTGAGATAAAGGAATGCGTCCGTGAGCGGGACCAACAGTGTGGAAACATCAAAAACAACAGAACAGAACAGAAGAACCTCTCTAGAGTCACACCGAGACACAGGAAGTACTCAAGCAGCTACATGACTTGAGGTTTGCTGGATTTGGTAGAAGGTTGTGTTTTTTTGTTTTTTTTTTTGAGGGACAATTCCTGAAATACAAGAGCGTCGTTCGATGTTTTTTCGGTGCCGGTTTGCTGAAATGTGCTGAGCTTGTTGTCGAGGTGGACGCTTGCGGAGCACAGGTGGAACTAATAACGTCATTCACGGCCGCGTCCCACTCCGGAGCGTCGTCGGGCGAAGGAGCGGACGACCAGATCGGTGGTCGGCGGCGGAATCTCGGGGGAAGGTTTCGGTCATTTTATTTTGCTAATTTAACAGTCTGCCTCTTTGGAAATTCAACCCAGTAAATAATTAACCCGTAAAGTGCAATTCAAAACATTAACTAACAGAACCTGGCAGCGCTAAGGACGTCCTCGTTGCACCAATGTCCTCCGATCGCGTCGGAAAATGTTAACATTGCTCAGCTGGCCATCCGCTTATCGGAGCGGCCAGCTGTCGGATATCATATTTAGCACTTTCCATTTAAAAAAAAAAAAAAAAAAGTTCCAGATTGTTAAAAGGCTGATGCAGCCACCTTTTATCCTCGGTCACCACTTTGTGGTCTCATCAACGTCCCGCCCACAGCGCCACCTGATTGGTTGCAGCCAATCAGCGCTGAAGACTATTGGTTGATAATCTTTCATTTAATTAGGGCCTTTTAATTTTTAAAAAGGCCTTTTTAATTTTTTTACAAGGCTTTTTAATTGTTTTTTAAAAGGCCTTTTTTTTTTTTTTTTAAGTGTTGGATTCGAGTTTGGGTTGTTCAAAAGTTTGACCCCAAATTTGTTTTACTGCTAATTAACACAAATGTACATCAGGTCCAAATATGGGTTATGGGCCCCCTGGTCAATAACGATCGGTATCATTGGAACCGTTATTAGCACCGCCTGTGCTCCTGCTAAATGTCCACCAACTCATGCCCTCTTCCCTCAGAGCTACTTGTAAAACTCCGCTTCATCTGTTGCTGAACCCAAACCAACACCTGGCGCACCGTTCTGCCGCCTGGTCTCACATCCCTGATGAGCCAAGTGAATGCTTTTACTTTGAAGGCAGCAGGCTGAAAAATCAAGCTGTTCCCTCCCCTCCCCGAGATATTCTGATGCCATTGCATACCCACTTTTCCCAGTTCTGTCACTAACAAAACAAAACAAAAAAATAAAAACCTAAAAACAAAAACATACACACCGACACTCACAGGCAATGCTGTCCTATCAAGCATATAATGTTACCCCTAATATAAGGACTACAGTTCATCACAAGTATTAATTCTGCTGCTAGTAGCATTACCATTTCTCTACATTAAAAGCTTAAAGCTTAAAGATATTTGCATCAATATTAGACATAATACTGCTGCGTATTATGTGTCAGCATTTCACGGTTGATGATGATAACTGGTCTAGCCTTACAGGTGGCGTGCAAACAGCTCCTCTACAGTGACATTTGATCCACTTTCTGGCAAAATTAATATTTGATCTATAGTTAAATGGGATATACAGGAACAAAATATGGACAAAATCGCCTCAATGATTATGTTACTAAAGCAATAAAATAAAAAAAAACAAGGAATGTGTCACCATTAAAACTTCAGCAAAGCTAAAACAAACAAACAAAAAAGAAAAAGCTAAAAAGCTGCTAGCCGCTGCCTCGCTACCTAATATCACAACGTTGTGCTACTCGTGTAAATAAACGGTACTGAAGAGCACAATCTACAAATTAACCACAAGAAACCAGAAGAGTTTTGGCTGATGATGATGATGATGAATGTGCTGATAGTTTTTTTTTCTGTTTTTTTCTTACTGAAAAATATGTGAAAAAATCCCTGCAAGTTGTGAAAGTGTTTGAGAGGCGGAGTTTCAGGGTTTGGGTTTATCGACCGAAATCTGCTTCGTGATTCTGGTTCTTAGCAAATCCTAAAACCAAAGCATCTCCAAAGAATAAGAATATATAGTGCCATAAATTTGGGATTTTTTTTTTTTTTAAAAAAGAGGTATTTTGTGATTTATTTTTGGTGAAAAGAACAAACAATACAATGACCTGCTGTCTATGTGGCATTAAAACCTAATATTGTGGCATGTCGGTGAGATGAAGTACCTGGATTTATCTAGTATTTAATTCAGAAAATTAATCAAAACCAGAAATTATCATCTGGTTATTTCATCTGCTTCATTACATCTGTAAAACCTGCATTTATATACAATTCTGCAGTAAATATATCTTCATATTTACCTACTTTCTTGTCTTGCGTGTGATAATTTGCATAACGTGGTCACGTTTTACTGTATCTGTGAAGCCGAGCAGCGCTAAAGGTTAGCTCCAGGCTGCTGCGCCGTAAACAATCACACACACGCTTTGAAACACGTGCAAAAGGCAGCGTGAAATGGAGGCGCGTTAGGTCCGAGCTCTGGCTTTCAGGAAACGAGAACTGGAATCAGAAAGCACATTTATGAGCAAACTCCCACCGAGTGTTGTGGAACAAACCCAACCCCGGCTATGTTGAGCAAGTGGATAGTGGTCACATGTCTGTGTGGACGGAGGGGCGGGGTTACTTCCCCCCTCGCATCCAGCGCTGTGTGTGTGTGTGTGTGTGTGTGTGTGTGTGTGTGTTTGTGTTTGTGTGTGTCTGTGCACGTTCTGGAGTAAAACACAGCCATGCTAAATCCTAATTGGTGGATCTGATTGTAGCTGGTTAGCTTGAAACCAGCGTGACCTTTCTGTGCTCCTGTCGACCCCGGTGCACAGGAAGAATAAGCCCCGCCCCCCCCGAAACCCAAACCACCCTAATGGTGCGTCAGACCCGGCTGGAGGCGGAGGAGACGCCCCTGTTGCGTCCCAACATGGAGGGCTGGAAGTCGGGGTGGCGGCGGGCGTGCTTGATCAGGTGGTCGCTGCGCATGAAGCGCTTGTCGCACAGCGGGCACAGGAAGCGCTTCTCCCCCGTGTGGGTGCGGATGTGGCGGGCGAGCTCGTCGGAGCGGGCGAACTTCTTCTCACAGTCGCGCCAGGTGCACGGGAAGGGCCTCTCGCCTGCAACATGGAGGCAAAACAGAGCAAGCAGAGACGTTAGCCGACGCACAATCCACCAACAGCAGTCCGATGTAGGTCAGCAGGTTCACACCACGAGCATGCAACAGATTTGTTTCATGAGTAAACAACAACGTCTCACTTCCTCCGGTTTCTATAAACAACGATTACACCCAACCAGGAAAGCAGAGCCGTGCTCACTAACTGGCCTCCAGAATTATCATCAGCTACAAGTGGAGGTCTGAAGGAAGAACCAGCATGTGCCGGATTTACCGCCCCCCCTCGCTGCCTTCCCCTTATCTCCCCTCCCCCCTCTCTGTGCACCAACACAACAGTGCACGAGCTGGAGCATGCACGGGACACGCTCCAGTGGTGTGCACTGGGTTTCCCATTTACTGAGCCGTGTCCCAATGCTGGGGTTTGTTGTTTTTATTTCAGAACTGAACCATGAGGAGAATTGCTGATGGTATCTTTAATCTACAGGTTTACTAGTTTAACTGACCAACCAACCATTTGGGAAATAAAATGCCCAAAAATGTTTATCTCATTGTCCTACAGCTTCAGGAAACATCCCAAAATATTCAGTTTACCGTCACACAGGACACTTAAAGAGAAGGAAACCCTCAGAGGCTGAAACTGGGCAGTAATTTGCATATTTTCTTGTAAATGATTAAATGGCTGCACAAATGTTTAACTGATTAATTAACATTAATCAACTAACTGACAGTTTCAGCTACAATATGTGAAGCTTATGTAATATTTCCTCTCTCATATATCACAACAGCCAAAAAAATAGTGCCCACCTGCTCCTACAGTTGCAAAACGTAATCGATTTGTTGTCAAATATTAATTTATGACCATTTTGTTAATCGATTGAGTGGTTTAATTGGTTTTTCAAGAACGATATGTCCAAGTTTTTTTGATTCTAGCTTTTAAAATGTGAAAACTTTCTGGTTTCTGTACTCCTACATGAGAATGAACTGAATATCTTTACACAGTGGTTAAAATTATAGCTTTTATGATGCCATTTTGAGCTTTGAAAAACATCGAGTGGACATTTTTGACCATTTTCTAGACCAAACAACAGGATTAATGGCTGCTAATAATAATCAGTAGTTAATGAAATTGAATTGTGGCATCTTAATAACAATGGGCATTGTGGGAGATTTCAGGCTGGTCCTCAGCAGCCTTTACAGCTGATCTCATCTCATAGGGCCCAACAGGTTGTTTACACTTCATGCTATGGCACTAATGAGCTGTATGCATGGCACAAATATGCATATTAACATAATAATGGGACATGTGGGAAAGCAAACTGAGGTTTACTATTAACAAAAACACACAAATGCATTACTGCTTTCATGCAACGTGGTGTAGATAAATAAATATATATGAATCTCCATACAGTTAAATAAACATATGTAGGCTTTGGATGCTTCAGATTAATCTCCCTGAGCTACTACCAGCCTTAATCTCTGGCAGGCAACACGAGTCAGACCCAGGATAAGCGAGGAGGATGCTCGGTTCCATTTTCAAGATCACAAAGCCAGGCCACGTTGTTGCCACAGAACTCCCCGTGGGCGTTCCCACCACAGCTCCTCTGAGCCGCTTCCTGCCCTTAATCCATTTGCGCCTGCTCAGTGACACTGGACACACCGATTCACCTCATTTTGGCGAGAAAAAGAAAAAGAAAAAAAAAAAAAGAGATCACATGCACGTTTTTCAGCTCAGTGTTGTTCAGATGGGTGGGTCCGCTCACAGGAGGAACTGACTGAGCGGTGAGGAGGTGCAACCGAACCGTCTCACCTCTCTGTCAACGCAAACACGCGTTAAACAGTGGATTAAAATGATTAGACTGAAGCGTCCATTATCGGACGGCCCGCTTCCCGCAGCTCCTTTTATCAATAATTTACACGTTGCAGGGATAAAGTAGATCTGAGCTCGTCAGCAGAAGCTCGGATCAGGAGGTGATGCCCGGAGAGACACCAAAAAAACAAAAAAAAAAAACCCCGACCGAGCTCATGCACTTGCTGCAGCCATTAACGTGTCCGCCTGTGAACCCGGCGCTCCCCGACGCGAAGGTTTCGTCTTACGTTCATTTCATATGCAAATCGGGCCGGGAGGAAGACTTTCGTCACAGGTTTTAACGTCCAGCCCAGTTCTTTTGTTAGTTTACTTCTTTGTCAGAGACTCCGAGCGGAGTTTTCTCTGTTTCCCTCTTTGTTTGGCCACGTTACGGTACCAAACCGGTGGCAGAAAAAAGGGGGAGCCGCCGCCGCCGCCATGCTGCCCCGCGAACAAAACACGTCTAAGTGATTAAACAGCAGCGGAGGTGTGTGTGTGTGTGTGTGTCAGAGGACAGAAAGTTGTGTACACTGTTGTTGTCTCCGTACCTGTGTGTGTCCGGATGTGCGCCTTCAGGTGGGACGATTTCCCGTAAACTCTGTCGCATCCGTCAAAAGTGCACTGGTGCCGCTTCACCGGGGACCGCGGGGCGCCCACCGCCGCGCCGCCTCCCCCCCGGAGCGGCTGCTGCTGCTGCTGTCCGGGCACCGGGGTGGCGGAGGGGGTCATGTTAGGGGTGGTCGGGTCGGACAACGTGGTGTAGCCGCTCTCCCCGCCGCACGAGGAGTTGCTGCTCTCGGAGTAGGCCGACATGGGGCGGAACTTGCCGTGCAGGTCGGTGAGGATACCGGCCACCGCCATCATGTTGGCCCCCTCCAGCCGCAGCGTCTCCCGCACTTCCCTGTCCTCGCTCGACCCGTCGGGCTCCCCGGGGAGAAGGCCCACCGTGGCAGGCTGGCTGGCGGGGGCCACCGGGGTGGGTCTGTGCAGGACGGGACCGCTGGATATCGACACCAGACACTCGGCGGCGAAGTAATCAGACGAAGCGGTCAGCGACATGGTTATCGACTCGTTGTCTTTATAAAAAAATAATAAAAAAAAAAATAACGGAAAAAAAGATCCAGCAGGAGGGGCGAGCGTTAGTCGGATCCTGACCTCGTTTTCATCGAACTCGACGAACCAACCGCTTCCAGCCGAGCCTCGTTGCCTCCATACAGCGTTCGAGTCGTTCGAGAGCGACCACGTAGACCCGGGAAAAGGCACAATTAATACAAATAACGTCCTAAAACCGTGCTAATGCCTCGGGCCCAGCATGCGTGCCCCTCACTGTCTGACGGTTCATTGTGTCTGAGGCTCCCAGAAGCCGGTCAAACCTACGCCCCCTGGTCCGGACTACAGAGGCGTTCAGGGCCCGTCGGACAAAACTCTTTGGAAGTGTTTATTTCTAGAAACGACCTGTTTAGTCGTTTATATTTAAGTTGCAATCCCCCAAGTGTCGATTAAATGAGAGAACCACTGCCCTAAAACACATGAAAAGTCACACAACCCGGCTTCTAACTGCGTCCTACACTTTTGACATGGTCTCTAATCCACGCGTATAATCGATTTATATGTTTAACGGGCCACAGCATATTCAGCACTATAAGCGCAACAACACGCACTACTATTAACGCTTCGTGCCTCGAATGCAAAGGCGAAAAAGAGTTAAGTAGAGTTTCTTTTCACGTGAAGTTCCCGAATCCGAGTGTTTTCTGGTCCCCGAACGCACCGCGAACAACAGCACGCAGGGACTGACGTCGCAGCACGGGCGTGGACCGCGGCGGCGGCGGGTGCATCGTGGAAAGTAGGTGGCACTGGAAGGCAGCTTGGGTAATGATGGGGGAAGGAGATGGGGATGAAAGGCGTGTCGGGTAATTTAGTTTTTTCAGCTCAGTCGGAGGCTGGAGAACGTGGCTGGGGTCTGAACACAAACGCACCCTAAAGCACCCACCTTTTCCCCACCAGTACCAAGAAGACACTAGATGTCCCTCTTCTCATGTGTTCATGCTCTCAAGTGTACTTGTTTGGCTTCTGAGAAGTTAATGAATGAGCTCCTAAGTGATTAGAAACCCGCAGTGGTTGTGTGGCTTATTGATCCTGGTCATATTGACACTGTGGGTGGTTATCACTTAAATAAAATAATCTGTTTTTCTATTAGAGGAGGGGAACAGTAGCTCTAATTCTCTGTTTGTGGTGCCATTTTTATTCTACCTGCTATATTGTGACTGATATTGTTCGCTCAGACTCCAAACTGTCCAACTTTCCTCCAATAAACTGTATTTTCTCCTCACGTCTGTAGTCACTGGGTGGCACGTAAGAAAACTTAATGTTTTGTGAGGCCCCGGCGCTGTGTCAAGTAATTGGCTCAGTGGATGTTTGTAGCTCCAGCTTGCGAGGTATTTCCTGATTGGTCGCTGAGAGCAGTGTGGGTCAGTGTGGGAGCCCACGTACAAGCCCGGTCATTCAGTGGCTGCGAACAGTGCTTGGTTTTCATCTCACTTACATGTGGAGGCTCGGAGGCGGCCGGACCTGCAGCGACTCTGGGTTGCTATGGCCGGGTCACTGATACTGCTTAATTGTGTACATGTTGTGTTCATTTTGCTCCTGCTAAATGGTAAGTTATATGACTTTGTTTTATGTTGTTTTTGTCTGAAAACAGAGTCGACTCATGTGGCATTACAGTAGATGTTCTCCTGCTGATCTTCTAGAAGTCTTGTCTTGTAACTGGGCTTTCTGTTCAGTAGGTGACTGTCTTCAGGTGGAACCAAACCTCTGTGATTCAAGTTGTGCTGGTGAGAATTTGATGCAATTACATCCATAATAAGGATTAATTTTTAGCAAATCAAATGCTCATTTTTGTGATTATATTGTGTCGACAGGATCTCCTACCTCCGTCTTGCCCTATCAGAAAGGGGTGAGGTACACTTACAGGTACAGCACGACCATCACCACCACTCTTCATGGCTCCAGCGCCGGCAGAAATGGACTGGCTTTGGACTGTGTGGTCGACATCGACGTGGTGTCCAACTGTCACCTGATGATGCAGGTCAGCTTTATCAAAACTGGTGATAAAACGCTGCAAAAGAATCATGTAATATCGTGGTTTCATGGGCTTGCTTGTCTCAACAGATTAGGAATCCGCAGATAAAGCGGCTTTCCCCCCAGAAGGAGCACTCTGTGCAGCGGTTAAAGAGCTTGAGGTAACACCGTCCCGTCAGTGAACGACTCTTTTCTGATCTGCCGTTTTGCATCTGTTCTCTGTTTATAGTATTGAAAGTGTCAGAGCAGATCATTTTGGAATGCCACGGCTGTTTTTCCTATGAATGTGATACTCTGTTCAGATGCTCCACTTGTCTGTGTTCTCTGGTCTCGGGGGGCTCATCTGGTGTTTTTGTTTCCCAGGGAGGCGCTGGAGAGGACGCGCCTCAAGTTCTCCCTCCGAGGGGGAAAGGTCACGGCCCTCTGTTTTCAGGAGGGGGAGCAGGTGTGGGCTCTCAACATAAAAAGGGCTCTACTGAGCATGCTCCAGACGGCCCCTGTGGCCTCCAAACTGGAATCAGAGGAGGAGGTGGGTTGATGGAGACCCTGTTCTATTTAATGCATGTAAAAAGATGCGTGCATGTGAGGAGGCTTTGCACAAGTGTTCCAGTCTTTAACGCGTGTCTTAGTCTCACTAACCAGCTCTGTTCCAGTCATTTATGTCATCATCCTTAATATACCAGATTCAGAGGGTTTTTAAATGGGCTTTTCTTCGATACCGCTTCCTCAGACCGACGTGTACGGTACCTGCAGCAGCAAGTACGAGAGGCGAGGGCCTGTGCTGCTGAAGACCAGGGATCTGAGACGGTGCCAGCAGCACAGGCTGGCAAACTTTTGGCCTCATTCAGTCGCTCTAACTGAAGACACGGTGAGTTTAGACGTCTTCTGCCCTGAAAATGTTTGGAAATGTGAAAAGGTCACTAATTAGTGGCAGACATGGCTCATTACCGTAGACTCTGAGGTCATAATATAGTCATAGTGGAGCTATTTTAGACCCAGTCATTAAATAATGACTGCTCTTAGGCCAAATGCGTGCATAAATGAGTCCATATTTCTCCAACTCAATTGAATAAACCCCAGCCACATTTTAGATTTCATAAAAGAGACTGTGACTCCTAACTTCTCTCAATATGATATTATGCAGTTACAGAAATGTGTCCCTGCTCTTAGATATTGCTTGCAGTTCCCTGTTTTATTTCTTGAGTTCGAGGAAAGTGGAAGTTGAAAGTTGTACTGATGCCATTTGTCACTTCAGATGTCTACAATGCTGAGTCAGCACTGGTTGCATTGTTGTGATATGAGGCTTCTTTCTTTGTTTCTGCCAGTCAGTGCAGTTGGAACTGCATTGTGCTCAGCGCCACAGAGCTGCGGTGATGGAAGAGGTTAACTGCACTGAAACTGTGTCTATGGCGACGTGGTCCGGCGCTGCAGGCCTGGTAAAGACCCAGACGGTGTCCACGCTGCTCCTGCTCAGAGCCCAGCCAGGAGCTCCTGTCAGAGCAGGTCAGAGACTTCTACAGCTCAGCAGCTCCACTCTTTAGCCTCTATGACAGCCATGCACCCTGACCGAGCTGTCCTCATTACTCCTACAGATTCCTTAGGTACCGGTGTGCTGACTGACCTGCAGTTTGAGGATGAGGGGCCTGTGAGGCCAGGAAAACCCAGACCATCGACACCACAGAAAGCCGCTCAGACTGTCAGGATGTTGTGCAGCCACACCTCAGACCCACAGCTGGTAGGCCACAAATGCAGCAGGTCCTGGATCTGCTTTTAAGTGTATTTATCTGTGAGGATCATCTGTTTCAGTCTACCTGCCTTATGCTTCAGGTGCTGCAGACCCTTTCAGCAACGAATATGAATGACTTACTTGCACTCTGCCAAACCACTGATGGTGTGTTTGTATTTAGAATTCACAGCTTGACCTCCCCTGAGGCTTTTCTGTGTGTGAGCCAATGGTTTTTATTTCTCCATCACAGAGGAGGTCAGTCACATCCAATCTGGCAACCTTCATCATGGTGTGTTTACATGGGCGGTGGTTTAAAGGCTCCGTCAGGCTAAGAACCTGTGATGTTTTAATGACGTGGGGATCAAGCCGTGGATGGGATGAAAAACTGTCTTCACAGTTCTTCAGGACTTGATTAGTTCTGGTTGAGCAGGAATGGTTTTGAACATTTGTAGAGTAACTTGCATTGACTGTATGATACCAACAACATCTGTGTGTTTATCTGCTCCAAGGTGGCACAAGAGTTCCTCCAACTCGTGTTCCAGCTAAAAGATCTGTCTTTATCTCAACTCAAGACACTTTGGCAAGAAGCGTCTTTCAAGTGCCGCAACGACTGGTCAGTATGTCCTCGATATTTTATCATTTACTTGGTCGTTCCTTCATCTGTTTTTTAATCCACCTCCAACATGGCTGTTGCATGTTTCCACTGTGAATTGCAGTTATTGTGATATGTTGCGCTTTGCTATCTGTAAACTGGATTAAATCTGTTCATGGGTTATGATAAGAAAAACACACAGGCCCCTGGGCATGTCAGCAAGTCATAAAGGGACAGTCTGTGTGGGACAGAAACTTCTCAGATGATCCGACATGCCAGAGCAGGACAGTTGCCAAGAACACAACAAATCAGATTTTATCATGGTTGACATTTTGATTTGTCAGACGTGTGTGTATGCATTTTATGACGTGTGTGCTTGTGTGGCATGCTAATATACAGTACTTATGTTGTTTATGGCTTACTGGGACAAGTAAAAGGCATGAAGGCTTCAATGAATAAAAACACAGAAGATTAATGCCCCTCTCGTGTGTGCACAGTAAATATGAAACTGCAGTGAGTTAGCTCAGCTTGTCATAGATAATCGCTTCTGGTAATTGTCTGAGAAGGAACCAGCAAAAGCTCCAGGATGTTTCCCAGATAAGAAAAGGTCTGGTGCATAAGTCCTCATAAGACTACGACAAAACGTAACAAGGTAATTAGTGAGCGTCAGCATTTAGCTTTTGGCGCTAATTGGTGATCGTTTCACATCTACAGGAAATACCTCGCTTTGTCCAGGCTATATTTTAAAATAAATTTGATTTTTAGGTGACATTTGAAATTTTGACAAAAGGGAAAAAAGGGACATCTTAGTGTGTGTCATGACTATGGTATAGCTTAGCATAGCATGAAGAAATGGGCTGGCTAACTTACAAAATTCAATTTTTACACCTTGTTTTTTGTGTGTAATTTATTTAAATGGGATATAATGTGTTACAGCTTTAGCTTAAGTGCAGCTAGGTGCATTTTTTTTTCACCTTTAGCCAAAGCCAGATTAGCTGTTTCCACCTGTTTTCAGTCTTAGCTGCAGCTAAGCTAAGCTAATGATCTGCTGGCTGTAAAGACATGAGAGTTGCATCAATATTCTCATTTACTTCTCAGCACAAAAGCAAAAACGCTTATTTCCTAAATTGTCCAACCATTCTGTTAATATTTGTTATTATCATTATAATAATAACTTTTGTGTTGTTTAGCAAATTAAATCTCCTTTGTGACGAAGGTATACAACCAACACAGTGAGCTATTTATTGAACCCTGCTCCTAATGCATCGCTGCTTTACATCAGTCAACATTATACCATCATATTATTATGTATGGAGCTGGTTACAGGTTCTATACAGCAGAGTCTGACACTGACATGAATTAACTGTGTGGACAGGCAGCCCTTGTTGGATGCTTTGCCTGCATGTGGATCTGAAAACTGCATCATGCTACTGACTGAGCTGATCAGGAACAAAGAGCTGGAGGAGGAGCAGGACCACTCCTTCCTCACCACCATAGCCCTCATCCCTCATCCATCGCCTCAGATCATCGGCTCCATCAATGTAGGAACCTCTGGGTGATGCCAGATCTCTCACCGAAGCTCCTGTATTGACTCGTGAGATGTTTTAGTCACACTGATGTCTTGTGTCAGACCTTACTGGAGGCCCCAGAGCTGCGGTCCAAGGCCATGCTGGTGGGATCGTCTCTGGCCTATCAGCTGTGCCGGAGGTCTTCCTGCAGTGAACTCCCTCAGGTTCAGACCTTCATGCAGGCGCTTGAGAAGTCCCTGAAGGACGGCTGCGATGGAGAAGAACCCACTCGAGTGACAGAGGTATATCACTGACTTCTTTTTTTTGGTTCTTTAAGACGTTTCATCTCTCATCTAAGGGGCTTCCTCAGTCTAACTGAACGTTGGGGAGTCCCAGGTGTTTTATTCTTACCCCCAAATCACATGGCTCACTGCCCACTTACAAGCCAAAGACACGCATGACTTGCGATGTGAAACTGCCTGGTGAGAGATGACTCAGAATGGTAATGGTGGTACCACATGGGAGATCCAAAAACTCAGCAGTGCACCTGAATCTAAAGGACAGGGAGGGACTCTCCACTGAGGACAGTCATGTTTACATTCAGGCTAAAGAAAGCAAATTATCTCCAAACAGAGGAACAACAACACCACTTACCAGGTACTTGTAATGCTGTCCTGAAACCTTTCAGTCTCACAAACATTCACATCTGGAGGCACGTGATTCTTGGGTTCTTACGAGGAATTGAGACGTTTGAGTTGGAGGTGGGATGAATAAGTACCTGGGACTCCTCACCAGTCAGAACTGAGAAAGTTTCTTGGACAAAAGATGAGAAGTCCAGTTGTCTTCTGCTGAAACACCAGAATCTACTCAGACGTACCTCAAATCTGGAGGTACTGATGATTAAATGTATGCATCATGTCATGTAAGTGGCTGTATTGTCAAAGAAATGACATCAACAATGCTCAGGCTGCATTCCTCATGTTGTCCAACAGCTTCTTTATACTCTGAAATCAGTGGGAAACGCCGGTTTGTCTGCTTCTACCTTCCTTCCTCTGCTAAACCGCTGCATTCTGGGACACTCAACACCGCCAGAGTTGAGACTCGCTGCCATCCAAGCCTTTAGACGCTTCCCCTGCTCAGAAGATGTGAGTTGATGCAGATTTTTTGGATTCATGTACCCTGTTCTTGCCTGAACATTAACCCCAGAATGATTCAAGTGGAAACTGTCAGCAAGTCTTCATGAGCCGAGTGTCTCAGTGAAGCGATAATTGATTCATGATGGGTTGAGGTGGAGGTGAAGGGGTGACGAGGTGAGTGAGAGTCTCGCATCGGTTACTGACAGCAGCTTCCTTCCCTCAGAGGTCCGTGCTGTTGCAGCTGTACGGCTCCTCCCGGGAGGATACCGAGGTCAGAATCGCCGCATACCAGCAGCTCATGCGCTGCCCCGACCGGGACGCGTTTGAAGCGGTGAAGACGACGCTGAAGAACGAGACCTCCAGCCAAGGTCTGATTTAAACCTCTGTGCAGAAGAGGTGCTCAAGGCAGCCAGAGAGGTGGCAGCTCAGGGAAGGTGGTGGACAAAATAGTGGAAACACTTCACGATTAAGGAGTATTTGGACTTTAATACAACTCAGATGATTTATTATGCAGTATTTCAACCTACACATTTAAAAAGAATGCTATTCTAACTTTCTATGTAGTTATTTCATCCACCTTTTGAGAACCGCTGAGGTGCAGGTTTGATTTATGTTGACGAATATGAATTTTGAGATATTTTCTGTGACTTATTATGAGGAAAAGGACAAACAGACGAGTCCTCTGCAGTCTTTTCCTGTTCTATTCACCTCCTTGCACATCATTTTCTCCTCTCTTATTCTGTTCCTCCAGTGGGCTCCTTTGTGTGGAGTCATCTAACCAATGTCCTGAGGAGCGAGGACCCCACGAAGCAGACTTTAATCGAGTCGCTGCCTGACGACATCATCAGCAGAGATTTTGAAGCAGAGTTTTTGAAATATTCCTCCTATTCAGATTATACTGTGGCCTCAGGTAATGATAGTTTAAAGTAATTAAGTTTATGGACAATAATATGCACAGCTACGAACCAATACTGATACACTGAAGTGTTTGTGTTTACATGAGCAGCCTGCAGCTTTTTTTCTGCTTTATTTGTTTCAGGTGTCGGAGTTAAAAACGTGGAAACAACTTTGATTTTCTCCCCGAAATCGTTCGTGCCAAGATCAGCTTCTGCCAACTTGACTGTGTATTTCCACGGCAGAGCCCACAACCTTCTGGAAGTGGGTTTGCATTCGATTTTTAGCCGTTTAGTCGAGTATTATACAAAACACATTTGTTATTTTAAAATGAACGTCTATATTTTGTATCCTGACTCAGGTGGACCTTCACGTTGAAAACGCTGAACTGCTTTTCAAGAACGTTTTCGGTCAGCAGACAGACGGCGAACCTCAAAACGGAAAACAGGAGGCGAGAAGGACGAGAAGAAGAACAGATGAGGGCCATAAAGGAGAAAAAGAAGCGTGTCTATCCAGCAGCAGCAGCAGCAGCAGCAGCGACTACCTGAAGCAGGCCAGAGCGATGGTGAGGTCCCAGTCAGCAGGCTGTTATCTGAGCAGAGCCGTGAGGGCATCAGGTTGAACATGTGACCACGTGTGATAAGACCGGAGCTGTTGAATTCCAGGTTTCAGCCTCTCAGAACTCACTGTTAGAGCACTGATTAAATCCTGACAAAATACATTAAAGAGACCCATGATTAAGTTTTAAATTGATGTCTTCAAAGGATTAAAGAATTCAAGGAACTTTACTCGTCATGCCAGCTCACATTCACATATTTGTGGTACGAAATTAGTTCTCATTTCCCGTTTTTTTTTTTAAAGAAAAAGCCTAAAAAATAATAAATGCAATCCCACAAACTCTAAGTAAAAATAGAGCAATATAAGTGCAGTAAGAAAAAATATATAAATGTTGAAGTAGAAAGACAAATTTAGTTGTTTAGCACTAAATATTTGTGTAGCAGCGAGGTAGATTTTTATATTGCACAAATTAGCCTTTTATCTAACCAACAATTTAAAATGTAAATATATCAGTTTACGATATAAAAAAAGATGAAAAAGCAGCAGATGTTAATATCTGAGAACTTCAAATGTTTGGTATTTTTCTGAAAAATGACAAAAGCAATTGTAGATTTTCAAAATAGTTGCCCCATTTTTATTTTATTTTTTTATCATTATTATTTTTTAGCCCATTAGCTTAAATAATCTGTAATTTAATTGTGAAATCTGACAAAGTAGCAAGTAAAAATGCTAAAAAATAAATAAAAATCAGATTAACAACATGATTTTTCTACACATCTCAAATGACAGATGAAAAAAAAACAATATTTTTTTTCCTATTTTCAATGCCTCGTAGAATTTATATTATATATATCCATCCATTATCTATACACCGCTTAATCCTCACTAGGGTCGCGGGGGGGCTGGAGCCTATCCCAGCTGACTTAGGGCGAAGCCAGGGGACACCCTGGACAAGTCGCCAGTCCATCTATTTTATATATTATTATATTATTATATTTATGAACCAAATTCAGTCAATTGCTCAGATATGTTATGTCACTTATCAAATATTGGAAAATAGAAAAATAGGAATTGTTTTTCCAGAGGTTTCTGACTATTCTATTTGAATAACTTTATTTATCCCTAGGGGAAATTCAAAAGCGCATTGAGTATTTAATATTAAGACATCAAAAAAGGAAAAATAAATAAACAATAAACCACATTATAAATATCACATATATTAGATGGGCATTGGCAGCGAGTCAGTGGGTCAAAGATGGTTGTGCATTTAGAAGGAGAAGATGATCACGTTCACTGTCTGTGCCACATGTCTTTGTTGCAGTTGTTTGGAAGAAGGAAACCGGAGATCGAGCCCAAGTGTCGGGTTGGCGTGAAGGTATTTGGGAACGAGCTCAGTGTGTTTACGTGTGAAGATCTCTACAATCAGATGAACCACGTGTCGCTGAGCGTGGCCGGACTGGCTGTGAAACTGCTCAAGGTAGTTGCTTCAGTTTCTCACTCTGACTGTGGCCTCCCTGTGGGTTTACCCCCCATCGTGCCTCCCGCTCACTCTGCCTTCCTTCCTCTTCCAGGGTCAGGAGGTTCAGCTGAACCACAGGGCCGTGCTGATGACGGAGGAGCTGCTTTTGCCGTCCCTGTCTGGCGTTCCTGTCAAACTGGGCATCAACATGACCTCCCTTCTATCGCTGCGTCTGAAGGGCAATGTCAGCTACAGGGACACCTCTCACTTCTCCCTCAGCGGATACATCAAACCCAAGTACATCCTCGTTATGCGTCCTCAAACTTTTCCCACCTCGTTGGTGCATCTGCAGAGTGTAACTGGTCTGTCTGTCCTCAGCGCCTACGTGGGACTGTCGGCCAGGATGGGGGTGGACAGCGCTCTGGGTCAGGCTGCGGTGGAGTGGGTCGCTGATCTGAGGAGCTCCACCAGCCTGGACGGCAGCGTTCAGCTTCAGGAGGGCCAAGATGTCCGAGTCACACTGAACACACCGGAGGACCTGATGGACGTTGTCTCTCTGAGGTGCTCCGCCTCAAAACACCCCCGTTGCCCATAAAGTTGGAAAAAAATACCACGGATCAATGCTTCGATTGTTGATGAGCAGGACGTCCAACTCTTTGGTTAGATCCCAAAGTCAGAATTGGTTTCACCTGGTAACTGGAACTCAGGATGTAATCATTGAACGTGGTCAAAAGTGATGCATGTAAATAGAAATAAAAAGATTAATGTGTCTGAAAACTAAAATAATTCCAACTTTATGGGCGATGGTGTACATCCTCTGTAGTGGTGAAGATGTCTGTTTCCTCAGTTTAGTCAGAACTCTGACGACAAGGACTTAGAGGCTGTTTAGGGACGCAGGTTAGTTCAGACTGAAAAAAAAGACATTTCCTGTTTAAGCTTCTGCAGATCACAACCATGCAAAGCAAACATGAGAAAAATGCCATAAAATATTGCAAAAATATTCACCTTAGTTCACTGTGTTGCACTTTTCACATGTAAGTGAAAATAAATAACCGTCATGTTCCTCGTGCAGCTCCAGAGTGTTTCAGCTCAGCGGAGACCACAGAGAGGAGATAAAGGGGCCAAAGAGTCGAGTCCAAAAGACCACCTGCACGCCGAAAACCTGTGAGTCCAACAACGTATGGCGTTGTACACGACACGTGATGATACAGCTGTTCTCACTTTATAACCTATTAGAATATGCTAGAACATAGTAGAACTGACCAGAACTTGTGGGAATGGTTTAGAAGCTGCATTTAAAAAAGAAAAATTTAAAATCCAAGGCATATGCATAATTTTTGGACGTGGTATGGCAGAAGTAAACGTCTTCATATCAGTTTGTATTTCACCACTCCAAGTATATAAGACAAGGTCAATAAAAAAGGATTTTCATCATTTTTTTCATCATTCATTTTTTAAACGAGCTACAAATAGGTGTAATCTATCACTAACACCTCAAACACAACGTCCTACCATCTTTTATTCCATTTACAGCCAGAAGGAACCCACTGGTCAAATACAAACTCACTATAAATCAACACTTTGCATAGATAGACATGCTTTTATGGGAGTAACTGGTTATTAGATTACGTTTGTGCACATGCTAGTCAGAAAACTCACCAAACATTGATCTCCTCGCAGGGTCCAAGATGATCGGCTGGCAGCTCTGCTCCAACGGATCCTACCCGTCGCCCGCCACCGGTCTCACCGTCCCCCCTCCAGGACCGGTCCACCTCTCCCTCAGGCTGCTGAAGCTGGACAGAGGCCTCCACTACTATCTGCTGGAGGCTGCTTACTCACTACATCATCAGGTAGAAGGAAATATTAGGATGTACCAGTGGATCAGTGAGTTTGTTGTTGCCTCTGTGAGATCCCTTTGGCCACAATAGGATAGAGCGAGTTGTCCTCGTAAGGTTGGTGGTTCGATCCCTCCACAGTTGAAGTGTCCTTGGGCAAGACACTGAACCCGAAAGTTGCTCCCAATGGCAGGCACCACCTAGCATGGCAGCTCTGTCACCATTGGTGCATGAATGTGATCTACTCTCAAAGCGTCTGCTAAATGTAATAAATGCCATTCAAAGGCTGGTTTTCCTCATTCAGTCTCACGGTTTGTGTTTCAGAGAGGCGCGTGGCTTCCCAGAGAGGCCTCCGTCCACCTCCTCCTGGCCACTCCTCAGTCCTCCGTCCCCAGGGATATGTCTCTTGACGTGGCCTTCAACCCTCACAGGTTTCTGCTGAGGATCAACCATCCTGTGAAAACCATCCACATACAAGGTGGATCCCAGAGACACACAAGGTAGAAACAAGGTTCTGTCTTCTGTTGGGGTACAACGCTGAACACGTGTTGTTTTTCTCAGGGCAACTGGAACAAGAGAGGAACACCAAGTCAGGGAAGCTGGAGCTCCTGATCGATGGCGTTCGTTATTACATCATGGTAGGAGTTTTCAACAGATTTTTCTGCTTTTGATTTAACCTCAAATCATTTCTCAGATCTTAGCGACTTGAATGTTGTCGTCCACTCCAGGGTCTGGTGGACACACACACCTTCCTGTCAGAGCAGAGGACACGCTACCACGTCGAAGCCAAGATGGCCGCCGACGCCCACCCCGTGATCCTGTCTGCTAACGTCACTCGTGGGTTAGGGAGGAAGACCAGCTTTTCTGCTACCGTGAAGAATGTGTTCAGAGAAACTGCATCGCTGTCAGGTAGCTAGCTGTGTTTTACTTTTTAAAGCACATCCTGTCGTGTGGTACTCTGGAGGCAGCGGTAGATGTGTGACTGATGTTTGCTGCCAGTGGCCCTGGAGCGCCGGCGGGACACCAGCAGCAGGCAGTACTCTGTGGAGGCGGAGCTGCTGCTGCCCGGCGTGGTCGGCAGCCGGATGCTGGGCCTGATGGAGCAGAGGGGGTCGCTGTGGAGCTCTGTGCTCAGGCTCAAGTACGGACTGGGAGGTGAGTTACAGGAAAATGTCTGGTTTGATGTTCTGGAGCTGCAGTTTAGCTCGCTGTTATTTTTTCAGTGGCATCCCCAGAAATGTCTCATATCGGGCCACTGAAACCTCGGGATGGCACACCAAAACCAAAAGCCATAACTGAGTGGCAGAATTTCTATTGTAGTGTGGAGGTTTCTCATAAACTACGTCAACATGAGGGTTTAGAAGTTGAATCCTTGGTTTCATTTTGACTGTTGACTTGCGCTTTTCAAAAAATGCATGTTTGGAACAAACTGATTTCTTGGCTTCTAGTGTTGCTGGTCTCAACTCTCTCGTGATGGGAAGTTCGGCTTTTTCGGCTCCCAAACGGCTCTTAATTTATTATCATCTGTAGCCTCATATTTGAGCCAAACTTGGCAGATGTGAACGCTGTGTGTGTTTGAATGTAGTGTTTTTATGAGAAGCCTTATAACAGCTTAATTCTGTGTATTTATATGTTACAAAAGCAGGCATTCTTACTTTAGTTTAATGTTTTAATCAGACTTTCAAACTTAATTTATCATGAAAGCAAATGAACAAAACACTGCAAACAAACCCACAGAACAGAACCAGAACAAAACTCAGTTCAAACATCAAACAGTGTGTCCTTAGTGCAGGTTGGCATAAAAAAAAAACAGATGTTGTCTCCCCTCCATCACCTTCACCCCCACCTGGTGAAGGTGGTGGAGGTGATGTTGTCTCCCCTCCATCACCTTCACCAGGTGGGGAAGACTGAGGCCTCGGCCTGCCACCAGCTCAGTGACTCTTCTGCTCTTTGGATGAGGGGCTCCTCCAGATAGCATCACATCTCCATGATAACATCAGCTGTGGCACTAAATCCTCACAAGTGTTTGGCCACAAGGCCGCCATGCTGCCAATCAAAACAAAGATCTGCCGTGAGCTGAGCCACTGAGCAGCGAAAAAGAACAAAAGTGGGGAGCCGGCTCTCACTCGATGGGAGTCGTCTCTTCTGATTCACTGTGTGACACATGACTACAACTTTCTCCATGTAGTTAATGAGCCACTCGTCCAAATTTTTTTTGTTTGTCAATTTTTACTCAGAAAAATGCCCGACCTCAAATTCAAGCGAACACAGAGATGAGTCACCGTACGTCATGGTCTTCTTAAGTAAAAAGAAGATATAAATTGGACCAATAACGATGTGGTGCAGGAATGAATTTGTACCTCCGGGGTGATGAGGAAACAACTAGGAAATGAGTGTCACATTATGTTCTGTTAAACTTCTCTGACTGTTCATGCAAATGACTTCGAACTCAGCCGTGCACTTCGTCAGGTCCTCAGCCGCACACCCAACAAGTCTGAGGAAGATCAGAGTTTGTTGGATTTATCAGTTGGATGTTTATAGTTATCTGATATCTAATGGAATAATTGCTTTAAGTTATTGTCTGTGAAGATTCTCAGTCATCCAGCTCATGGCTCTTCTCGTAGATTAATCATAGCAACTGGACTTGCTTGAGTTCCTTGAAGACGTTCCACCTCTCATCCAAGAGGCTTCATCAGCTCTGACTGACTAGTTGGGAGTTCCAGATGCTGATATCCTGAAGGAGACATTAACACTGAGTTTGGGTTAATTAATTGCAGTATGCGACCACTGATTTCACTCGCATCCGTCTCTCATACTCACAGCAGATTTATTACCTGAATGGATTGGAATAAATGCTTTATTGGATAAACTGTCCCGTACGGTAACGGTTGTGAGATGTTTCTCTGCTAATGTGTGGTCATAGAAGTGGACAAACTTTTCCATTTTTACAGCTAAATGTCATCCATCTTTCTTCCATGGTTAAAGCAATAATTAGCAAGATAATGGAGAAGCATTGTTGAAATGCATCTCAGCCGCTGTAATAACGACCCTGAGCTTTTCCCTATTTGTTCAGTTGAAATTCGATGGCTAGCACAGACACTTTTCTGCATTTAGGAAGAGACGAATCAATTCACAAGAAGAAACATAAACCTTCCTTCCACAAAGACCTGAATCCTATAATATTAAACCTATTTTCCTTTCAAACTGCTCAAATCCCTTTTAGCACATCTGCATGAGTTTTAGTCGCAAATGTCAAAACAAATCCAACATCTCTGCTGTTTAATATCGCCGACGTGCAAAGGAGCCTCAGTGTGACTCTAAAGAAAAGCTTCACTACGCGTCACATCAGTTAGAGACGTATCGTATGTGGTTGATGCGTTGTTTTCAGTTTTTTTTTGACGGCCTTGCAGGTGATGCCCGACAGCTGCGTCAGGAGTGCTACACGTCCCAGAGGCTGAGGAGCGAGACGGACTCAAACCTCACATACATCATGAGAGCTGATCACGAGTTCTACTGCTCCAGCACGGCTCCCGTCAACCACAAGGTGACTGCAGATATAACAAAACACACAAGCCTCTAATATGAGCCCTAACTGAGCAGAAAGCAGAAGGTTTCGCTGTGATTGAAGGTGTTTGTCTGTACTTCTCAGATCCACCTGAGGCACGAAGAAAGCTCCAGCCACGTTAAATCAGCCCTGGACATGAGCTACGGCAAACACTGGGACGAGATTAACAACAAACACACGCTTCTCCTGAGCCAGTCCTTCAAAAACCAGTCCACGCAAAATCACACCAGCTACACACTGGAGGTAGAAGACGGTTTTTATTTCAAACCAACACACACTGTTCACACAGACATTTATAATGCTTTTCGATGCACTTTCCAAGCTATATAACTGTGTTTTTATGACCAAAAATTAATGATGCACAATATTAAAATTTCTGGCCGATACCGATATCCGATATTAAGATTTCTGATATCGGCGATAACTGATATTACCGATGTCGATATTCAATTTTTGTTCACACCGAAAAATGAGCACTGTGAGAAAACTATTCAAAAGAAGCCGAAATTAGACCACATAGTCTTCTTTATTACATAACAAAAGTATAACATATTTAAACATATTTAAGTCCAGGACCATTTAGGTAAAAACATCTGTGAAATAGCAGCGATATCAAATGTAGACACGAAGGCGCTGATGTTAGACAATCATCGGCTAAATGTGTTCATCAGACCGACACTGATATATGGGACAAAACACTGATATCAGCCGATACCGATGCGGTTGCTAATATATTGTGCATCCTTACCAAAAATAACAGATTCACCCTCTTCTCATTTCAGTTCAACCTCCAGGTACCAGAGAAGAACTTGAACTACAGGACTCAGCTTCTGCACTCCCACCTGACTCAGTTTGGGTCTGAGAGCAGCACGCACTTAAAAATCAACTACAACAACCTGATGCCGCTGGTGGCTGGGTTACACTGGAAAAGCCCCCCGAAAGACGCCCTGCAGAAGAAGTGGGAAGGTGAGAAAACAACTGTCTTATTGTCCCAAATTCCAAACGTTTCAAAAAGACAGTCTTCTAACTTACTTGCAGAAATGCATTTATTCATGACGTCTTGGTGCCAGAACTGGCTGTGACTCTGCAGCCAATCGACGTTCAACATGCACTGTTGGAAGACATGAATTGCAAAACATTAAGAACAATAACGTAAATCCCACAGAAATGTAATAACGTCACTGTGTTTCTGTGGGATTAAACGTGTCACGTCACCACTCTGAGGCGGGGTAGCGCGAGGCTTACTGGATTAACGCTCTTCAAACACCCGCTCCTGATTGAATGACTGAACTGCTTCTTAGCATTTTCATGTGATTTATTACATCAGATATTTCTTGTACATACAAATTTGGTGGATTGTTTTCTGCATGTGCCCCTTTCCACTAAATGTCAACCATTGGGCCTCATTGTCCAGATACGTGTGAACATGAGCACAGATTTCCAGATTCTTTTACTAGTATTCATTTATATACATGTACATTAATGCTACATTGGCTTCTGGAGCCTTAGATTGTATTTATAAATTACACAATAATAACACAGCAGTATGTAGAAGCTCTTTGACCAAAATGGTATTTTTAATGCTAAAATATGATTATTATTGTTATCCAGGAATTTTCAAATTTACTGTTTTACCAAAAAAAAAAAAAGAAGAAAAACTAGTGAAGCACTGAAATGTCAAATTAGAGTTGTTTACTTCCATTCCTCAGCAGAAAAATTAGTTTTAGTGGCTGAAAGTTATGCTTGATTCATTTCTGACTTCTCAGATATGGATATAAAAAGGTGAATTCAGTTTGAAATTCCTCATTCAAAACAGTAAAATGTCAAGAGCTGAGTGTAAATAAAGCACGTCATGATGCTGGATGGTTTCTTAGACGAGCACGGAAAGACCGAAAGTGTCCTCACAGTGTGGTGAAATGGACTTTGGACTCAATTGCCGAGACTGGTACTTAGAAAAAGGAAGAGGCAGGAAACGAAAGTGAACTGAAGTCAGACACCTCAAGATTTTAAGGACTAGAGACAGAAGGAAGACCACTGCTGATCTTCACGCAGAGATGATTCTACATCAGAGTCTGAGAAAGTCTCCAGGATGGCCAGAAGCAGACGACTGATGAAACAAGGCTAAGAGGGAAGATGAGCTGCTAGGAAACCAATAGTGAGGCCTGCAGACATCCAGAAATCCGTCCAAATTTGCCAGGGAACACAAACACTGGAAAGGAAGAAGGTCTAACACCAAAATACTGCAAATAAATGCATTTCTGTAAGTTAGACAGCATGTGGGGGAAACCTTTGGAAACCTCTCCGGTGCTCCTGCCTCATGAAATAAACGTGAAAGAGCTCCTTTGTCTTAAACCACGACTGTCCCAAATCCCCACAGTCATCTTGTATTACTACATGTGTGATGTTTTCTTTGCATAAATCATTTGAATTTGCACACGGTGGAGCACTCATACGTGCAGCGAGGCGCCATCATCTCCCTGTTATTACCCGTCCAGGCTCATTTAACATGGACACACCGTGGCTGTATGTCTACACCGCCCACAAGCTGAACCAGCTCCAGCGCCACACACTCCAGATCACCTCGGAACTGACAGCCAGCAAGTGGCTGACCATCCGTAACCTCATCCTGGAGGGCTTCTACAGGGACAGGGGCAGGGAGCGGGAGGCCCGTCTGGAGCTCTACTCGCCAGCTGCCACCTACATCCAAGTAAGGAGAGGAGAGGCTGCTCTGTCTGAACAGTCTGTATGAGAATCATCATTTAGTTTCCGTTTACTTGGTTGGAATAGTTTGCACAAAGCTGAAATAAAACCAGGTATAAGGGTTAATAATGATCAAGATATTAACAATAATGTGGCATATTTATGTAAAAAAAAAAAAGCACATTCATTCATGTCTGCTTCCTGACCACCTCCTGGTCCTTCCCTCCACAGGTCGGGGGATGGAGCATAGTGGGGAAGCGCAGTCTGAAGGCCTCTGCCTCCTTGAGCTCATTGTGGACTCCTCCTCTGAGAGCAGACGTCTCTCTGGAGGCCTCTAAATCCAGCCACACCCTGCACATGGCCTCCTCCTACGGCAAGCAGAACGTCAGCTTAGCCGCTGCCCTGAGCGCTGCTGATAAGGTGGGTGGACACGCTGGGCTGCATCTCTAGACTGGATGTGTTCAATACTGATTTCAGTGAAGCATGAAGTTGTCGTGGGCTGCAAGGTGGCTCGGTGGTTAGCACCGTCGCCTCACAGCCAGAAGGTCGCTGGTTTGCGTCCCAGTGAGGACACCCAGGATCCTTCTGCGTGGAGTCTCCATGTTCTCCCCGTGCAGCGTGGGTTCTCTCCGGGTTCTCCAGCTTCCTCCCACAGTCCACAAACATGCTGAGGTTAATTGGTGATTCTAAATTGTCCGTAGGTGTGAATGTGAGTGTGCTTGGTTGTCTGTCTCTAAGTGTAGCGCTGTGATAGACTGGTTACCTGTCCAGGTGAACCTGCCTTCACCCTGAATCAGCTGGGATAGACTCCAGCCCCCCACCACCCTAGTGAGGATTAAGCGGTGTATAGATGATGGATGGATGGGATGAAGTTGTCATTCTTTGGCTGGTTGTTATGTGTTTGATGTCCTGATGAGCTGTGGCTGCTTTTACAGAGTCTGAAAAAGCGGCAGGTGACTGTGAAGATGAGCTTCTCGAAGCCCAAGAGTCCGTCCACTGACCTGGAGTTTGAGGGAGTGGTGGAGGAGCTGAGGAGGGACAAGAAGATGTATCAGAAAACTGCCATGATCCACCTCAGGTCTGTAGCCCATCCTGTCTGGCCGGACATGAGTCTCTTGGGGTATTTTAGCTCTGCTTATAGTTTATGAAAAAGCAAAAAAAAAAAAAAGCGTGAAGAACTTTGCGACTTTAACGGCAACCCTCTCGCACAGACAGCCCCTTCAGAGCTTCCCTCAGTCTCTCCTCCTGCGGGAGACTTTCACCGTCGACCTCCTCAAAGGCCTTTACATCCTGGAGTCGAAAGCTGGTTTCCATGGCAACAGGGAGGTGGTCCACACCCTGACTCTGGGCTACCGACCACCGAGCCCTTTTGTAAGACAGTTGCAAGTTAATTTATCACCACAGCACTCGTTAATGACTGTGAGCTGTGATTTTCATTTTTTAATATGATCTCTGATGTATTTAGGTCTGTTCTGCACTGACCCATCCGTTCAGCTCGGACACGGTTCCGTCAGACTCGGAGATCTGCGTGACCGTCACCAGCAACCAGGTAAACTGTCTTCAAACTCAAAACGCTGACTTCAAATGAACCTAAAAGCCAAGTCTGATGTCACTGACTTCCAAAAAACATCTCAGTGGGTCCATCATTGCAAAAGTTTGCACACACTCGTTTTAGAGCAGTGGAATATAAGCCAGCCACAACATTAAAACCACTGACAGGGGTATATGCAAATTGCACAGAGCTTCATTGCCATTTAATGTCAGAGCCATCGAAAGTTGTAAGTACTTCCTCATTTCAATAAAATCCCATTTAACATAGGTGGACAATAGATCTAACCTGCTTAGTATAGATGAGTATGGGAACCATTCATGTATTAAATATAAGCTCTCTCTGTGACATGCCCTTCTTCAGACCCACAAAGACGTACGAGGAAGGTTGCGGGTTGGGAGCAAAGAGAGGCTGACTTTCTTTGGTCAAGTTCAGCTGAATCCTTTGCATTCAAGTCACCAAGCAATAAAAGTCAAAGCCAACTTCCTCCATCAGCTTCAGGTAAACAAGCCTCACCACTCACAAGAATGTTTAAACAATGTCCGGTGCAGTATGTCATGCTCACAGTGTGCAGTGTACTGATCTGAATGGTGCTCTGAACAGTGACAGCAGTGTAGTAAGTGATCCACGTCCACCTCCAACACTGTACAGTATAGTTTACAGTAGAAAAGGCCAAACTTGTGACCAGTTCATCTGTTCTTGCTGTTACAGCTGCAGCTCCCCTCCTCGGCTATAATGGAGGGAGACGTATGTTGGACTCCAAAAGACAACAATGACTTTGATTATCAGGCCAGAGGGAAACTGAGAGTGGAGCGACAGGAGTGCCAAGTGAGGAAACCAAACTCGACGTGCATTTTAATTAATGTTTGTTTAATGAGTTTCCAATAAATGTCCGGAACCAAACGGTTGTTTTGCTTTCCAGCTTTCCGTTCAGCTGAACGGAACGTCAGGCAGAGTCGGCCTGTATTCATCTCTCAGCCACCCCTTCAAATCAAAGATTCCCAAAACAGTAGAGGTGGGCTGAGCTTTTGTATTCACAAAATGTAACGTTTTTGAAGTCATACGGCATCTTGTAGTTGTTCATCCCTTCCCTGTTTGTTGTGTCAAGGTGAAGGCGACTGCTGATGTCTCCACCGTGCCTGGTAGAGGGAGCAGCTCAGTGTATGTGAAGGCTGATGGGAAGGACAGGATGATGCTGAATGCCCAGATGTCCCACTCCCTCCAGAGGGAAGACAGAGCTGTAGGACTGAGGCTAAATTTATCCCAAAGCCTGCTGCCTACAGCCACTGAGCTGCATGTAGACCTGGCTGCCAACATGTCCTCAGACAGGTTTGCTCATGAAGTTTATTTTAGAACGTTAGCTGAGAGATCTGTAGTTTTGTCATTCATCTGACAAGCATCACTGTGTTCCTTCTATCTCCCTCCAGTGTGTTTCTACGTGGCTCCTTCACACAGGGACAGGAGGCTCTGCTGGCTCAGGTCAAAGGGTCACTGAAAGACTTGCAGGGTCTCCAGCTGGATCTTTCAGGGGACTTGAGGCACTCCATAACCAACCTCAACATTCTGCCTCCAGTCCTGGGGTTGGATGGAGCACTGGGGCAGTCTGACACCTTAATCGAAGGTAAAGCTCCACGTGAAAGTCTTACACTGTTTATTGTCGTTGTGGGGTATGACTGTAGAGTATGGAACCATCCAAGCTTTACATAGTGCATGTGTAGCTGACTGATAGTATCACCCCCTGTGGAAGTTCTGCCCATTTGTTGCTTTTCAACATTGAATCATGGTCAATATAATTAGTCTTTTTTGACAGAAATTTACAAAAAAAAACACTCTTTCATGTCAACCAAATCTGTTATCAAGATAGAACATGATGCTGCCACCGCCGTGCTTCACTGTGGGGATGGTTTGTGTTTGTGTGATGATGCCGGTGTTTGGTGTCCGTCAAACATAGCGTCTAGTCTGATGGCCAAAAAGCTAAGGTGTGGTCTCTTCCAGCTGACTTCAGACTCTCCCACAGGCTCTAGTTGGGATTTAATACGAGCTTTTCTCAACAGTGGCTTTCTCGTTGGCAGTCCTATAAAGCTTTGACTGGTGGCTTGGTGGCCTCCCGCACTAGTCTTTTTCTTGGATGGTCACTCAGTTCTCGGCAGATTTACGTTTGTGCTATATTACTTTCATTTCTTAATGATGGATATAACTGTATTCCAAGGGATATTCAGTGACTTTTACATTTTCCCTGACTCAATTCCCTGACTGGGGCTTTTTAATAAGCTTTGCACAGAGTGTTCTTCTGACTTCATGGTGTCAGGAGCACTGATTCACCAATGACTGGACTTTCCACATACTTTATAACACAATTACTTGAGATATATTGACTTAACTTAGATGATTTTCATTTAACTAATTGTGTAACTTCGAGCACCACTTGGCTGCTCCTGTGTTGTATTAAGTGAGTCTTTTTAAAGGGGGTTGATGCTTACACAATCAGCTGATGAAGGCTTTTTTTGTTTTTGTAAATTCTTGTCAAAAGGTCAAATGGACTTGATGTATTTAATATCTTATGTAAAGCATGTTTTTTTGTTGCAGGACAGCTGAGGGTTAGAGTGATGGAGGCTGTGTACAGCGTGGAGCTGAGACATCAGCAGGATCCTGGAGATGTTTTGGACGGAGATGATGATGATGATGAACAAGGCGTGGTGGGAAGAACGTCCCGTGATTGGCTGTGTGTTTGGTCAGGTGTGGAGCATTTGTGTGTGAATGTGACCCACCAGCTGGGAAATCGAGGGAGGGGAGAAATCTACACACGACTTTCTCACTCGTTCCACGTGCTCGACGCCACAGGTGATCACTGTGATATCAGTATAACACATAGATATTTTCTACAAATGTATGTATCTCCCTGTCTCTCAGTGTTTGTGTCTTCTGGATGCAGGTGTACTGACCAACAGTAGTGCTCAGGTGAGGTGGTCCCAGGATGGCGGTCAGCTGTCAGCCCAGGCAGAGCTACAGACTGGACCTGAACACCTTAAAGCTGAGTTTCATGGAGGCAGAACGAACCATCTTATCCCACAGTGGCAATACTCCTCCAGGCTGCAACACCAAGTCAGAGCCCTGCTGGAAAGAGGCCTACCAAGCTCTCTTCAAGCCAAAGCACATTACCAGGTGCAGGACTGTCATGTGTAGTTTTCTGTCCCCACCAAGTTCATAGTTTATTATGGATTTCACAAGCATTAATATCTTTTATAAAATATAGATTCATGGCTTTTTCCTGTCCTGTACTTTTATGTTGTTCTTCTCTCTGTTAGTTAGAAACAGATAAAGTGGACACAGGTTTGGTCCTCTACATGGAAGATGCCAGGATGGTCGACATCCTTTTTAATGCTGGATCAAAAAACAAAACAGCTCTTTTAGCGGCATCTCTATGGCAACAGATTCAGCTGCTCGAGGGATTCATACCAACGTCCTTACAGGTACGTTTTACATAACTTCCACGTGTTCATTTGTAGATATTAGCATATGAAAGTATCCATGTGTGTACGCTTTCAGTACGCTGAACAGAAGGATCTAGAAGTCTGCATATAACAGTAAAAAGAAAAACAAATAGTACAATTTAAAATGGAGGACAAAATAGTCTAAATGAAAAGGGTACAAATATTGATCCCTGAGGAACACCACATTGTCACTTTTACACTGTTACGTGTTGTTAGAACAGAAATAGTATTACCCAATGTAGAAACAGAAATAGTTCAAAGAGTAATTCTACATTTTAAACCATTATTCACTGTCTTGCACATTATATCTCAATTGTTGTGTTGTATTATAAAGTAAATGTGAAAGAGGCCCCTGGTGTGCCAATTGGCAGGTTTTTTCATAGTCCCTGTGCTATGCTAAGCTAGTAGGACGTTGGCTATATCTTCACTGACAGCAGTATGGCATCCATTTATTATAACAACAGAGACATTAGCATAATTTAAAGTAGACTCACTATTCCACTACAACAGCACTCAGTGATCAGTAGGAACAGATGAAGCACCAATTTTCAAAACTGAATTCCAACATAAACAGATGTTGTTCCATAATGACGCTACCACGATATTTAATGTGTCTGGCCTGAAGTTCAGTAATCCCTCAGAAATGCTTCCATCTCCTCCTTCAGAAAAAACAAACTTTGCCAACAGGGGTTTTGTTTTCACAGATGAACTGCACAGGGGACGCCACTGCAGACCGACTCTCAGCTCAGTGCTATGGAAATGTGGCAGATCGCCCTGTGGAGGTACGAGCCTTTCGCTCCTATAGACCACACAACAGGCTCTGCTACGGCCTGTCGCTCGCTCACGTTAGCCTCAGCGCTCAAGCTAAAGGCTGCTACAGTTCCAGCGGTCAGAAGGAGCTCAGAGCTAACCTCACTCACTCCTCTGTGCTCCTGCTGACGTATTTAGGCGTGCCCAACAGATCTGGCGTTAGGCTCCTGCTCCGGCCAGGGCCTCAGAGGTGGGCTCTCTGGATCGGGGTGGTAGCTGGATCCTGGAGAACGGACTTGAATGTGGGGCTGAGGTTGGAGAGGCCTGGCTTGTATGGCTGGCATGGGCTGCTTGAATATGGGAGCCGAGGCGTTACGCACAAGGCTGCAGTGGCAGGTCGGATGAGGCTGGAAAGCTGGTGTCACATCTGGGCAGATGCTAGTGCAGAATGGGACTCAGTCAGCTCCAGTCTGCTGGTGTCTGTGCGGTGCACGGGGGTGGGGAGGCTGATGTGGGTGCAGGTTGGGAGCACTGAGGGGGATATACCACATAAAACCTCTTTAAATGTATACGGACAGGCAGGAAAAGACAGACTGAAAGGATCTCTGAGTTTTGAGAACCAGCAGGACTCCTTCCAGAGCCTCCTGTCTGTGCTACTGAGAGGCCAGAGAGCTGAGGTGGGTTGGAGCCTCCAGCACCACTGGGCCTCTCTTGCCCCGATCATCCCAAACAGAGTGGACCTCCAAGGGTCGGGCCAGCTCCGTGATTCCTCCTTCTCCGCAGCTGCTCGAGTGTCCATCAACGCCCGCTCCGCTCTGATGAACATCACCGCTGAGACGGAGCCCTCGGCCTCCCTCAGAGCCACGCTCCGGCAGAACCTGGCTAGAGCGCCAGAGGTGATGTCCGTTGGCATGTCGACCGCAGCGAGTCGGGCCCGGTTTGAAGTGGAGAGCGATGGGTGCTCTGTGCTCCTCCTGGCAGATCAGCACAGGGGAGGGAAGGACAGCAGGACCGGCTGGGAGGTTTTCGTCCGTCAGCGATGTTTCTTACTGAAGGTTAGAGAGGAAACAAGACAAAGTGTTTCCCACCAGGAGGAAAGTGAAAGAAACATCTCCAGCTTGGAGGATGACTCTTGGCTTTCCAGTGTAGCACAAGTTAAACTGAAAACACCAACATGTACCGGTATAAAGAAAACCAGTTTGTAAGGAATGTAAGCTCTGGAGTGGCTTCTAGTTAAAAACATGACTCTGAAGTCTCTCAACAGTGTCAGATGAAATGAAACCTGAAGTCAGTGATTTAAATCCAGTTCAGTTTGTCAAATTCAGCGATTATATCTCCTCACAGTCTGCCAGCTGTCTGTTCTGTGTGCATTGAAAAAAACCAAACTGATCCCCACAAGGTAAATTCCCTCTCGTGCCACGTTAGTCCCACTTTTTTTCTTCTTCTATTTCTTTGATTTAGAACAGAATCCATGCAAAACTAATGACAGCCGCTGTGTTTGGTACCAACAGTGACTTTAAGGAAGAGACGCAACACTTCAAGAATCCTAAATAATAATCTTTTGGAGAATTTCATAACACCAAGCTGGCAGTTATATGACTCATGCCCCGTCCTTTCCCCCAAATCGTCTGCTTTATTACAGCCAAATGATCCAGTCATGTTGTTGTACAGACGTAAACGTAGCGAAAATGTGCAGTAGGACTACGATCTGTAGCTTTAAACCATATTTTGGGGCAAAGTCATCACAGCTCTTACAAGAATATGAAAGAATGTGAAATATACAAGCTGTGTTTTGTGTTTTGTGGCTTTATATCGTGATGATTTGTGTCCTAATATTTCTTTATTTTGTTTTGCCTCTGTAGACTCTCCTGCCGCCACAGACCTCCGTCAACATCTCCATCACTCGTTCTGGCTGTTCCACACATCTCAGCTCCGTTCTCCAGGCTGAGGGGGAGCAGAAGGCCAGTCTTAGTATGTCCCTCATGTGTCACCCCCACCTGAGCCTGAGGGCGTCTGTGCAGCACTCCATCGAGGCGATAAAGACGCTACAGTTTCCTACCCACGGTGCGCTGCTCCTCAACGTCTCACCTGCGCTCCTACCCGGTGTGGAGGTTGGCCTGGAGCTGGGACGCTGTTATTTTAGGGGTAATTTGGGGAGAATCAAAGCTTCCCAGACGGAAGCTGAGGAGTCTTCTTACTCTGCCAATGTGACCAGCTACTGCCCTTCACTACAGGTAGGAAAGTCATCAGCTTTGTGCAATCCTACATGTTTAAGATTAAAACATTGCAGTTATCTCTAACTGTGAGTGTACGTTTCCATTTCTTTCATCGCAGTTAGACGTACGGGTACACGTGTTTATGTTAACTTTGAACTGGAGTTTCCAGCCCATTAGAAGGACACGCTATAGCTCGTTTGTCAAAGCACCAGAGCAGAACAACTCCAAAGATGTTACAGCTGCTTGGTTTGACGCTTCATACCCAAATCCTGCAGAGTTTCACAGCTAACGGACATCCTCCACCTCTGGTTGTTTCACAGGGCACCGTCCTCCCCGTGTCTCTGGCTCTGCAAGGCCTCCTGTCGGTGGTTCCTTGCCGGCTGACTGCATCCTACTCTCTAAGAGCAGACGGCCAGGATCTGTCTCTGGAGCTGCAGCAGCACTGCAGGACTCCACATCTCAGCGGGACCCTCATCCACTCCTTCTCCGGCCTGAGGAGTCAGGGGCTGCCACAGATCGTCTCCATAGAGGCTACGGCTCCTGGAGGCCCTGAGCATGCTGGAGCTCTGGTTATTAAAGTTGGAACATGTCACATCAGAGCCCACAGAGTCGTAGAGGGCAGAGGACGGACTCGGTGGCTGTGGGCTCTGGAGTCTACGTGCCCAGTGTTGCAGGTGGGGCTTTTTGGATGATTGCTTCATGAAACTGTAATCAGCTCTGCCTTTGTTTCTGTAGCCATCACAGAGAGCAAAAAATAGAAACTACAAAATGAATGAATCGTGTTACAGCCAGTTTTAATTATACAGTCAGTGGTTTGAATGAAGTGGAGCAAAGACAAACTACTCTTACAAACATGAATGAAGGTTGAAGGAGGACACAACAACCTTTGAAGAATCCAATGATGCTTCAAAAAAAGAAAGAAATGAGACATCCAGCATTTGTGGAAGATTGATTTCATTAAGTCACAGTGACAACAGGCTTCTTATTCATTAAAGGCTCATGTGAACGGCTCCGTGGTGCTGGACCGTCAGGGTGTCTGGACAGCCGTGCTGGACACTGATCTGGAGGGCAGAAGGGGTCTCCTGAGGCTTCACGCCAGGGCCTGGCCAGATCTGAGCCTGGAGGCTGAGCTCAACCATGACCTTCCTGCTCTCCGAGGTCTGCCAAAGAGCTGCCGGCTGAGAGTGGCCAGCAGGTTTGGAAACCTCCGGCACGATGCCGAGGCCTTGGTTCAGATGGAGGAGTGCTCCGTCAGGGCTGGTGGAGCTGTGGTGTCACAGTCTGGCCTGCAGGGGTCGCTGGTGTACTACAACAACTGCACCGTGATTCAGGTACAGACATCACTGAACAGGATCGATGATGTTCTCAGTAGATCCACTCACATCCTGTACAAGCAGGGAAGTACAGCTTTTATATACTGAGGTACTTCCATGTTATTCGCTTTATTTTGCTTCTACTCTCCCATGTTTTGGACATAAATATTCTTCGATTTACTCCACTGCTTTTATTTGAATGTTTTAAGTTATTTTGCAGATTTAGATTATTAAAATGAAATATAAACTGACTCATAAATGATTCTTTATTATTACAGATTAAGCTCCCCAGTGCTATATGAAGAAACTAAAATTTGCTCCAGCTGCAAAAGTCAAGTAATGTGCACATTAACGAATCAATGATTTAATAATATAGTACATATGATTTGTAAGCGAGCATTGTGCTTAATGAGAATGGCACTAATAGCACCACTATTACACCATTTATCAGCTCTAGAAGCAGTAAAAACATCATGAATTGTCAGATGTACAACTTTTTTATGGAGCTAATCATGTGTAAAGCGCAGCTCCTTCAGGAAGACCAGCCAAAGCTTAAATTTATTAAATTAAAATCCCTTTATTCTACATGTCTCATTTAGGAATTAGGCAAAAAACAAACGAACAGACAAACAAAAAGAACAAAAAAAAAAGATAAAAGATGCCATCAGTGACAACAAATCAGGGATTATTCAGCTAAACTGCAGCCTGTGTTTAAACAGAGCTAAATAGTAGTTTTAGAGTGGTAGAAATCTTGTACTTGATGATTCAAGAATTTTTTTTTGAACTGTAAAATATTTTATGATTTATGGCATTATGACCACATCATCATCTACTCTCCACCTCTAGTCATGGTTGAGCTGTTTCCATAGAGGTGTGGGACTTCATATTTCAGTGAAAAATAACTTCTGAGGGATTAAAAATGTGATGGGAGCAAAAACACAAATGCCAAGAAACCTCTCTGGATTTAGAGGCTTGAGGAAGTCGGGTTTTGCATTCAAGGCTCTTACTTCAACAGAGTATTTTAACATTATTGCTAATTATGCTCAAGTAAATGATCTAAACATCCTCTCTACCCTCTCTAATGATCTACTATTTTATTTCTAATCACTGCTTGTTTGTGTTTCTAGGAGCTGGGTGGTCCAGACAGGATGCAGGCTTCTGGGTCCCTGGTTTTTTCCACAACTTCTGTCAGATCTCAGGTCTCGATGACGGTCGACGACGCTGAGCTGCAGACTTTAATGTCTCTCAGAAAAACTAAGGTATTAAAATGCATGTTGTAATCGAACATGTTAAATTTCAGAAACGTACAAATAACTGCCTTTTAAATGCAATTAACTTCACATTAGTTGAGTAACATGTGGGCTGCTTGGTGGTTAGCATCGTCGCCTCACAGCTAGAAGGTCACCGGTTCACGTCCCGGTGAGGACACCCGGGATCTTTCTGCGTGGAGTCTCCATG